TAACTTCTGAGGCATAGAAACATTAGACTAAAAAAAAAAAAATTAGAATAGCTATAAGCAACAAAAGGAATGCCCAGGACTATCTACAAGGAAGACTTACTGGGAGTGAGATCCTGATTGGGACTTTTAACCTCCAAAACCATGAAAAAAGACATCACTGTACTTTAAAGTCACACACGTGTGGTATCTCTGCTAAGTAGCACTAGGTAAACAAGATGCAACTTTGTAAAGTTTTCCTTAGAGGGGGAAAAAAGATCGTGCTAAGAAAAAGAGAGAGAGCAAGAACCTCAAGGCTGGAAGTAAACATTTGAACAGCCTTGGCTGGGAAATAAGTAACAAGTCTTCACTGATTATATACAAAGCATATTTGAATGTAATAGCATATTTGAATAACCCCATGATGTGTGCTAATACAAATTTAAATCTTCTCCTATTATGCTAATGCAAAAGGGAGGACAGTGGCGTGGTTTAGAGCTTGTGCTTGAGAAACAGATTTCAGAGTTCGTACCCAGTGCTTCCACTTCTCAAGTGGGCAAACACAGGCAAGCTCCTTAATCTTCCTTGCTTCTGCAGTGTCACTATTTGCAAACGTGTTCTAGTGATGCTTCCCTTATATGCCTATTCAGATGAAATAAAAGGATTTCATCTACACGAAGCACGTAAGAAAGTGGCTGGCACTCAGATAACTTGTTACTATCTATCCATATATATTTATTATTATTAATATGATCATTTTAAGTCTTAAAACACAACCCATGGCAACAAAACCCAAGAAAAATAAAGTTTAGAGAACTAACATATTTCAATAAGTTTATGCTAAGAGCAATGTGGCTTAAGATGGACACGTTCATTACCTTTAAAGGAACTTTAAAACTATACTCATATGTATAAATCGATTGCTCTGAGGCTAAATCTATCTAGCAGAGTAGAAGGCACACAAATTTTCCCAAGCTTCCACTTACATTCGTGTGTCCATGTCAAATTTTGTGATTTGTTATTAAATACAAATTATTAGTTGAGTGCAGTAGGATTCTTTTGAAATGCGTTTTGGGAAGCATAAAGGGTTGCTTTGAGAATATAAAACTAGTCAATTTACAGTGTCATTGTTTTTGAACTCATACCTGTTAGAGTTCTCAAGAAAGCCAAATTTGGGAATTAAACTTCCCAAATCTTTGTTTTCAAGTCCTTTGTGGTAGCAACTTCATAATCCTTGTTAGGAGGCATTTGTACAATGTCACTTCTGGTTCTGAGATATCTGGCCCTTCAAACTTTTAAAATTTTTTTAAATTTTAAATATTTTATTGGTGGCTCATACAATTCTTTTTTTTTTT